CCATGAAAAATAAAGCTACATCTATACGTCAGCTTATGATTTACCGAGTGATTTACTGTTATTATTAGTTGGACGACAGAGCTAGTAAATTGTCGTTGTAATTGAGGAGTTAGGCGAGCGTCAAAATAGGGAATTATTAATTACGCGATATTTTCAAGAACTCTTTCACTTATCGGGGTAAATCATGCTTATTAAGCCGTCAGCGGGCTGGTAAACATCATTAAGGCGTATTGACATCGGCGGTTTTGTTCAATCTCTTAATGCCGAACAAATATTTTGACCCGGCACGCGTGGGATGACTAACAAACAACTTAGCAGATACACACTGGATGCAATTATTATGTATTCTTATTAACGAATATCGATTACAATTAGGGATAAGGATTTAGTTTTGGTTCAGTGTTATGCCTGAATTGGAGGATTTTACAGTCAAAATTCGTCGATTGAAGGGCTGAAGGGTTTTTATCCAAAAAGAAGACAGTATGGTTTCTGGCTGTTTTGCACAATAACAATAATTGTTAAAATATGTAGTAGGAGTATTTATTGTTTTTCCTACATCTATTTTTCTACTTTAACGGGTGTTTAATTAAGGATGCCTCGGTTCAAAGCAATGTTGCTGTCTAAAAGTCCGAAATTCGAAAGATTTTAACATTTAACAAAAAATTAATAAATATATACATTTTTTCCTTTCAACACGTCTTATTACATACATACCATAACAAAACCAATGTTTTTGATGTTGAGAAGAAATAAATAGGTATATGGAAAACATATCTAATATAAGTCAGGTGATCATGGCGTCCCTTGCACGATTAATTATTCTCGGTTCAAGCACTCATTGTAAGCAATGAATTTTTTGAAACATACTTTATAATACTGCTGTCGAGTATCTATCACAGCATTTTTGATACATCGGTGTCCGAAAATTACCAGAAATAAGTTGTTATAAAAATTTTCACATTCAAAGAAACATTCGAAGTTTTTCCTATATTTACGTTTATTATACTATTTTTTTAGTATAAACTTGACTTATTATTATGCAGGTGTAAGAATAGTTAAAGAATTTTTGTTTTAAATTGATTTGTTATTAAAGTTAAAGTACACAGTAAACAACTGATGCAAAGTAAATAATAATCAGCAACCTCTAAATCTACGAACTCTATTGTCTATTCTAACGTGGGCAAACAATAAAATAATTTCGCTATTAGCTTTGTTAATAACAATTGCGATCGGTGGCGTTATAGGACGATTTTGGTATACGCAAACGACCACAGACGCATACGTAGGTTTGTTGCAACAAATAGGCGAACCAAATAGAAAAAATTACGACACCAAAATAGACAATCACAAAAATAGATTTAATTATGTACTTTTGATTCAAAATTTATACTGATTTGCACTTGAGAATATTGTTAATAAGAAGTGCGAGTCGGACTTTCAATAAAGACCATGTTATTTATGATTTAATTGCAAATGTATAGTTTTTAGATTTTTTCCTATACTTGTAGTATAAATCGGTATTACTTGCCAAAATTCACAGTTCTAGGTCAACGGAAAATATCCTATAAATTTGAAAATGCCGAAATATACGTTTTTTGCGGCATAACAAAATATATTAACAATTTTAACAATTTCTCTAAAATGTCCACCTTACAATATATCCCTATCATAATATCATATTATGAGCTTGGCAGCTCGCAGATCCGTAATGAGCGATTTGACGGCCGCGCCATTCAATTAGCCCAAACGGCTTTGTGTAATGACGCCAATTATTTAAACGTTCATTCGTGGCTGGCACTCGAATTGAACAGCGACACATGTTTCCGGATGTTTGCACTTAACCCACTGCCAGCCCAATTAACTGCTCCGAAAAAATGTTCAATCCTAATCCTTTCTTTTCGACCATTTAAAACGCGTTAAATGCGTCCGGTATGAGATATAAACTTGAGTGAAATGGCTTTTTAAGTTGTTTTTCGTTCTATTAGTTTTTCTCTAGGTATACACGGCGTCTCATATTATAAGAATGTAGTCTAAAAGGATCTCGTGAACCAGAAGATATACAAAGATGATTAAATTAGAGAAAAGTAGTGTTTTGCTGAACCATAAACGTCTGTTAGGGTTTAGCAAGGCCCGACTTTTGTCTAATTAATTTTAAACCAATAAGTAAAAAGTATTTTAAGCTAACGTCTCCTTTTTTCGTTTTTCCTTTTGCTGCTAAGGCCGGCATCAGGTCTAGATCAAGTTAAAGAGGTGGAGAAAAAGGAGACAGATCCTCCAGCCTCCACCTCACGAATGCCTCCAGCCGGAGACAAGCTTCTAGACTGTGAACGGCACGTAGGATCAAACTCTAAAATCGTGGAAGGGAGTATACCCTCGGAGGAGGTAGATGTCCACTCATCGGAGGAAGAACACCTGTTGTCAGAGAAGGATGGGAAATGCCCCGCCAATGAATTCAATGAACTCACTAAGAAACTCATGTGAACATCAGACATTATTTTTTGTATTTGATTAGCTGACTAAAACTGTGCTTTAAAGCAATTAACAATGTGTACAAAAAATTACAAGACACGTTTCAAGTGAAGGCTGTAAGATAAAAAGCTTTCAAAAGATCCTCAAAAACCATCTTAGACCATTTATGTTCATTGGAACTTTACTTTTATTTTTATCTGCAGTATCTTTCACTGAAATTTAGTCCGCTATTTTTTATACCCTGTATAATGGTTTAATAAAAATTTCTGCTTTTCCACCTTGTTCATAATCGTCCTACGTCAATCGAGATGTTCGATACGATTTGTGAATGGACCTGGTTGCGTAGGCGCGCACACACAATAGAGGAAATTGAATGGACCCGCTTTTAATCGTGGGGTCAAGTGATTCCAATTGCCTTTAATTGTCTCTTATTCGAGGTGTCTGAAATCGTCGATCTCTAATTGCCCCACATCTGATCTCTTTCTAATCAACTAATAAATTTGGCGAAAATGTAATGTGGGCAGACAATAGTGGGCGAACTTGAACAAAAAAGAATTAGTTGTTTCGAGGAAGATATTAAGTTTGGTATTACCTAAGTATTTTATTTCTTACTGAGTTAATATAAGCTTATATCGTCTTGATTACGTTAACGATAAATAGAGTCATAACTCCCTTGGTTTATTATTAACGGGCATTAAAATGCTATAATTCTCTACCTACGTTTTATAGGTAACAATCATGAAATATGATAGAGACATTGAGTAATAATATAAAATGAAAATAGACACTCATCTAGAGCTACCAATAAGTTATTTACATTATTAATGTCACGTATAATAAATTTACAAGAAAACAGTTTCATAGACATCCCCTGCTACAATATTTTTCTGTCCCAACCACTGAAGGTAATTTTTATATTCCTTTTGGTAAATGGATTCACTTTTAGGTGGAGTTAACGCTTGTCGTGCTACTCCAGTTTTTTTAATATTTCCTCCATTTTAATGGAAACGTACTCGAAAGTATGCCGAATTCGTGCAAAAGGCGTTTTTTTTTGACAAACGAATGAACTCGATTAAAATTAACAACCGTCAATTAATAAAAACAGGCCATTTAATACAATAGTAACCTGGCACCAAACAAAGTTCCTACCAGCAGCGTTAATACAAATATACCGGAAAATTAATAAATGTAACATTTGTGTGGTTTTAGAACGGAACAAAATATTCTAAATTCAGTAAGAAATAAAATGATCGATTATGGTTTCTTGGATACTTAACACGTTATAATTCCTTTGATACATAAATATCTACTTCGAGGTATTTTTTAAGAAATCTTTTACTTTCGCTATTATATTGCGGCAATCTGTAAGCAAATGATTCTTTTTTAGCACGAATAATCAGTAAATATAAAAATAACTGAAACTGCATCTACAGAAGCCTGCATTTGTTTTCGTTTTCTCTGTTGTTGATAAGATGCCCTGGCCAAACGACATATAAATGGTGTTTTTAACCTTTCTCAACGTGTTGTTTATAACTATAAAAAGACGGGATCGAGCGAGTGAATTTACGATAATGCAAATTAAGAGCGGCATTATTTCATCAGTTAACATTACACTTTTAATTGAAAGCCATTAATAATAACAACGTCTGTTCGTAGGCTCGATGCATCGCGTTTGATTTTTTGAACGCACACGATGACGACTGACGACTATAGTTGATACTCCTTGTTGCGAGCCTTGTTAACAAAACACAATAAATGCCATAAGTTATTTACTAATTTAAAACTATAAAACTCTACTTATTGAAGTGAAACTTGTTTACGCGCGTTAGGAATAAAAATTCAAGGCCGTGACACACGAGGCCTTGAATGACGGGAGACGGCCGTGACGCGCGAGCTAGCGAAAGGAAAAGTAATTTCGGCAGTGTTGCCACAGCCTTTGTAAAACATGTTAACCCCGCTAACTCGTGAAAATCTACCCCGATGAAAAATAAGCCTGTGCCAACACTGGGTGACACTAGAGGACGCTGCCATATTTATTTCAGACCAATAATCAACGAGAATATTCGTATAATTTAATAAAATTACTGTAAATCACTATAAATAATGAATTGTTTGTAATTGAGCTGTAATTTATGTATTATTAATCCGGTAAATGATGGAGATAAACAATTGTGATTGATTAAAATTTTATTTCAGGATGAAACTTTTGTTAACAACTGGGAATTCGAATAATGTATTGAATAATGACAAGTGACATCTCTCTAAAAAAGATAGCGATTTAGAGTGTCAATTTGGTTATGTAAAATTTAGAGTGACAATTTTGATTACACAAAAGAAATACTGGTTGCCTAACGATTAACATTAATTTTACAAATTAGAGTTTAAGCTCTAGATTGCGGTTTATCGCAACCCATAAAACCTACCTTGGTAGAAAATTTCAAGATTCGACCTTGAAAACTGGCCCTTAAAGGTTAGTAGCAGAAGTTGTTTTACATAATAAATAAACACACATTCATCTCATTTCTTTTTACCTAAGAGCAGCAATTTTACATCCCTCTTGGCCTTCTGCCCTTCCTCCTTGAGGGTCTGGTCGATGGCCTTGGTCCTGGCGATGGCGGCCCTCTCCTCGGCCGACACCGTGCACCCCATGGCGCAATCCTCGATGCACGACGTGGTGGCGGCGGGTGTTCGGCACTTTCCGGCGGGAATCGCGGCCGCTCGCGCGACTATCGGCTACTATCGGGGGGTGAGATTACGTCACGTCGCGTACGGTCTTCCCCGATAAAACCCGATCGAGATTTTAAGCTGTTGAATATTCCATCGGCTGGTTGAGGTGCTCTTCAACCTGTGATATGTAGAATTTCTATTTTTCACACCCTGTATAAAGTTGTTTTTTGGTTATTCGTTGGGGAGATGTTTCACCAATCAATGTCTTATAATGAATTTTTGGTTTGTATTGATAGTTAAAAAAATAACACTATTTTTGATGTCGTCTTTCGATAACAATTTAGTTATAAATTTATACACTAACTTATATGTATAGCACTTTAATATGACGTTATTCATAATTGACAATGGATAATTGTTGAATATTATTTATTATACAATTAACTTTGTAATAAATAAATTAAAAATTAAGTAAGGCATATCAGTTTACTCTGGTATTGTCAAAAATAATAATCGATTATTTCAATCTATAAATCGAAATTTCATTAAATTTTCTCTAAAATACACGCACAAATCATATTGAAAGTCTTGTAATTTAAGAACATAATCATTTGATGAGAAAAGAAAACTTAGGCGCGTGTTATTCAACAGAAGTGCCTTTTCTTGATAATTATAAAAGCTGAATCACTAATGAGCGTAAATATTTAAAAATAATAGTTTTAGGAAATACCTCTAAATATGTGAACTAAATAGATTATCCGAATTCCTAAAAATATAAAACTCTTTGAAAGGAAACTGTAAAAAAAATGTTGCCAAAATATAGATAAGATAAAGATTTTATTTTTTTCATGATATAATATCAGATTCAGCGAGAAGATACGTTGGTTTAGTTACAAACCTTATTCAAAAAATTATATCAATCGATTTGTCTACAGATCGTACTGTATATATGTTAATTTGGCCCTGTGATTTTACTTTATTGATGTCTATATGAAGTCCACTTAACTGGGAAATTACATTACATTGAAAATTGTTTTATTAATAAGTTGGAAACTAAATTAGTTCTGAGTCCTAAGTAATTTAACTATATGCAAAAGTTAGGGTATTGTGTGGTATTGTTCAAAGTACCCAAAACTAATTGGAGAAATTGTTCTATTTATAATGAAATATGATCGAAAAAACCAACGTCAGAGTTGGCTTGGTAAATGTCATCGACTGTCCTGTCCAAATCATCTTTTTTCAATCACATAGTATATTTTAGTTATTGATTTTTTTTTCTTCCATGAACATAAAATTGTAGTGCTGTATGGTTTTATTGACTATCTACTATTTAAATTTGAATTTAAATTATAAAATATTGCTTGTCAATTAGAATAAAAATCACATTTGGTTGCAATTTTACTTTAGTCACATTAAATTAATTACTATATTTAATGTATAATGATTTTACTCTAGTACCTATATTATAAATGTTCAGATAGTAACGAATTATATTTCGATATCTACCTACACTAAAAAAAAATATATAAAACATAAACGTTATTAATTTCATTAACGTCATTATTTTTCTATATGTTATTTTTTGATAAGTTTTTGACTAGAGATTGACCTCGCCAAAATTATCATCGATTGTCATTCCCCAGCCGCCTGTGACGCTGTTTTTTTTATCATACGGTATATTCATTAGAAGCATAAAAATAATAAATTTTTCAAAATACCAAATAAATCTTTTTTCGAACTATTATTAAGTCAATATTTATTTGGGTATATAAATTCTTTATGGTGTGTTTTGTTTTTTCAGTGTACCTATGTAATTATTAAAAAATTACTTTTTTAATAGATTGGAAATTGTTTTTTTCTAGTAAAAAACATTGACGAAATATTGATTATAGGCTAAAAAACTGTGTTTATTAAACTAATAATTCATGTTAAAATACAGGACAACTGTCTGTATTTGATTTTTTAAGTGAACTGCAAATATACACAGTCAAATATGTTTATTGTACTTTCAATATATCTAATTTTAAATAATTTTCTATTATTTAAAATCAATAAGTGTTTTAAAACAAATATAAATGAATAAATAATAAATTTTGAAATTCCACTCCCACATTAAATGTACCAAGAGACATAAAGAAAATAATTGTCACACTAATAATACATTTACAATTTGTCGAAGGCCAACGCAACAATAAATTATATAGAAAATTTATATTACATCTCTCAACAACTTAAAGATAATCGAAAAACAATCCCGGTAAGCCCAAAAATTATTGTGGTTTTATAAGAACTGATAAAATTTATTATACCAACTGTGACATTTTTCAATGTAAATTTGTGCAAAAAATAAAATTCCAAGAATATAATATGTATGTAAATTATCTAGTTACATTCTTGGTAACTGTACCTAGTTTTTAGATTGTTTCATTTCTACAGAATTAACATAGGCACTGTGTAACAAATATAATGTTAATAGTTGACAACAGGTTGATAATTTGATTAAAAATGGTTTGTTTAATAAATCTAGGCATTGAAATCATGTCGAAATGAACTTTTAAACAGTTGCTTAATAGCTTTAATATTATTTAATAAAACGATTAAACAAACAGGGACAAATATGTAGCAAACTAATCAATGACACAATATAATATCTGCAGCAGCGTTAATATTTAATGTAGATATCGGAGAAGTTCACCTGGAATATTATCGATCTCAGCAACTGGATATAACAAATAATATTATGTTTGTTGTATCAGAAATAATATTCGAAACATCTCCCCAACCAGTTGATTTTTTGATATTTGAAAATTAACTGAGTATACTAACCGCCCACTCTAAAAAAATTGCACCAGATTTTTCCTATTCGCTCTTGTCACTGAAAATTCGCACTTTTCGCACAAATTACCCCTCTTGACAGCGGCACGAAAATGGCGGACCTTTGTCGTCGGAAAAACCGAGAAAATCACACCAATTTTTCGATTTATTACAACATATCGTACCGAATTACTCACGTACCACCGGCAATTCGTTAGTTTTCCCAAAAACACATACAATAATCCCGGAACAACTCATGCACCGCGCGTTCGCGTATTCTAGGGGAATCTGCCCCTCCCTGAACGCTCGTACGCGCAAAACACCCTCGATCGTACTCGCTGTCTCGCGTGCACTTGTTGAATGAACAAGGACGGAAAACGGTGGGAGCGTCTCGCGGTTCGCGGCGCGATCGGCCATGGAGGCTGGCGTGCGCGTTGTTGCCGTCGTTGAAAAAATCCCGCCCGACAACGACTATACAGGGTAGTCCGAACTGTATGCCAGGGAAACATGGGCAGCGAGTTCTGCAGGTAAAAATTAGTAAAAAAGTTCGTATACATTTTTGTCCTAAAATGCTTCGTTTCGCAGATACAGGGTGTAGAAGTTTCATTTTTATTTCGATTTTTTCAAAATAATTTCTGATTAATGTCGATATGTGGATGAAAATTGGTGTTTGATTTCGATGTCAATATAACTCCTAGTTGTAGAGGGCGCCTCTTACATGTTTTTGAGCTGTTTTGAAGAGTAATATCTTTTTGTGCGTACCTGTATAAAACTACAGCGTGAAAACATATACATATACAAAGGGCTCTTGGTAAAACTCGCTACGAGTAACCGTTCTCAAGATATTTATAATGGAAATAGTCAATACATGTCATTATTGACAAATAAATTAACATGTCGACTAGATAGTGATTTGACTGAATTTGGGAACTTTTTTTTATTTAATCATACATTTTTCTAGAAAAAAATATGATAAAACAGTTTCTGTTGATGAACCTTTGACAGTAAAAAATTTCAAATTTATTATTTTAGTATAAGTAATAACTATAGTCTATAAAATGAATAACTTTGAATTTTGACCGTTATTTTTTACCAACATGGCAAATATAAAATCCCTCTATCAAAAAAGTTACTGATATTCTTTAAGTATTCTTTAAATTGAGTGCCTGAACGAATCAGATAGGTAACTCTTTTTACTTACGTGAAATAGAAAAGGAAAATAATAAAACAAGTGACAGTTCTTCCTCTTCTTGCAAAAATCAACACGAAATGGCATAATTGTCAAAAGTAAAATGTCATCAGCTTTTGACATTTCTAAATATCAGACCAATTCCGTCTGTAATAGAACAGTCTCGGAGCGAGATTTATGACATCACGCTAATTAGATACGGATTAATAAATATGTTGTAGAATACATGGGAAACATAATTATTCCTCGTATTTTTGGTTTGTATTTTAAAAATGATATAGTTTACATGAAATATACATAATATACAGTTAATAAATATAATATATACCTATTTATAGTAATAAATACTTTGACAAATAAACTATGAACCATACAAATGCAGCAAATGTTTTACAATATACAAATAATGAATAGGTACATAAGATAATGGGTAAAATGTAAAATATATTTTAAATTTTGGGGTTTGAAAATATATCTAATTTAACAAAAAACGTTCAATATCTACTAATAGTGATGTATTATTATTTGCATTCACAAAATTTATATGTATATTTTGCAAGTATCAATGTTCGAAAAATTATATTTGCAAATAATACAATATCATAGAAAAAAAGGCGTCAGGGATAGCTATGAAATAAAGATCGCTGTCATTTTATATGTATAATGGTTTTAAAAAAAACGTTTCGGCTAACATTATAGCCTTCATCAGTGTTGTGTCATATAAAAATATAGTGTCGAATATAATCCAAAAAATTGCATATAAAATATTCACTTAGTGATTTGTACTCGGGGCCCACTGAGCGAGTATATAAACGCTCAGCTTGTAGATTGTACTTTAGTTTATAATCATCTGCTGATGATGCTAACATGGTTAGCGAAACGTGCGTCCAGTGTAAAAGTAAAAGTGTTTTGGTGTATTGTGGTGATTTAGTGTTTTTATTTTGCTAAAATATTCACACCAAACCAAACCACATAATGTTTACTGCAATTAATAAACTAATATAAACTTGTCAAAAGATGACCACATATTTATTTTAAATTATTATTCTGAACACTGAAACTATCTACATTGACTATGGAGTACGATTTCAGCCATAGTCAAATATAAGGAATAATTATGTTAGCGTGACGTCATAAATCTCGCTCCGAGGCTGTTCTATTAGAGACGGCATTGCGTCAGCATGGTCGCAAGTTGCTAACCTAATAAAATTAACACTAGAAAAGCCCGTGGGAACTGTCAAATTCAAAGTTATTCGTTTCACAGACTATATCTAGCCAGCACGTTTAACTTTTGTCAATAATGACATGTATTGACTATTTCCATTCCAAATATCTTGAAAACGGTCACTCGTAGCGATTTTTACCAAGAGACCTTTTTTACGTAAAAAATGTCGGAAATGTATAATTTTTTACTAAGTGGGCGTAATACAGGTACCTACCGATGAACAGTTATTACACAACTCCAAAACAGTTAAGCAAAGATGACACCCCTAGAAGTAGTAGTAATATTGACATCAAAATCAATTTTCTCTTCTCAAAAAACTCACAGACACGAATTTTCATCCAAATATTGACGTTACTTCAGAAATTATTTGGAAAAAATCGAAATAAAAATAAAACTTCTACACCCTGTATCTCCGAAACGAAGCTATTTTAGGACATACATTTATAAGAACTGTTCTACTAAGTTTTATCTGCAGAATATGCTGCCTAAGTTTCCCGAATACAATTCGTACCACCCTGTATAGTGGGAAATTCATGCGCGGCGTTATTTCCCGGGGGATACGGTGTGCGTGGGAGGTGTAATTTTATGATTTTTTTCTTTCTGTTACGGTTGTCGACTCGTCAAATAATATTTATAACATCAGGAATCAAATCACAGTGAAATCGATAAAGTTTCGCGTCTCTGTAATACTAACGAATCATTTCAATTATAACAACACACACTGCTGTATTTTAACTGTAGTAAATTTGCGGTGTTTATTGGTCATTAGAGCCGGTATTTGGTTTATTTGTTTGATGTCGAGCTAAATTTATTATTTTAATGCGAGCAAGCACCTTCGCTCGAGTCTTAAAAATAATGCTCCGGTTTATTTGTTGCGGTCGAAATAATGTACGCGTAGAAGAATGTTTCTAGTTACAAAAGACAACTTTGTTGTGTCAAAACATCAAACTAAGGAAATGTACTATTACTAATAACAGATGTTACATTCTGAGTTAAGTATAATACAGGGTGTTTCAAAAAACATGTGTTCAAAAAACATCTTTTGTGAGGAGATTCCTCACGTAAAAATAAAATATTTTTTCATGTCAACATAAGTCCGAATCTACTTTGTTTCGCAGCTACAGAGTGTTAAAATCTTAATAATCTTTCGATTTATTATAATTTTCTTCAAAGTAGTTTTAGTGATTCGAATGAAATTTTGAGGGTAAAGATTACTATAAGTGCTACATATTTTAATGCTAAAACAGTGTCGATAAATTATTCAGGGACGTGCATATGGGTTATCACTGGAATATTTTTCAAAAAAAAACATGTGCGCCACTGACTTTTTTTTCTTTTCATATCAAAATTGTGTAGGCCGTCTAATTCCATTTAAAAGTTATTTGTTGATATTTTGTCGAATTCGGCCTCCTTGATCAAATAAACGCAATTTTATTAATCACAATTAATAAAATTAAATTATATATTTTTTACCTAATTTATTATCAAATATGATTACTATTAGTTATTATTACTATTAGTCCAAACAACAGCCATTTAAAAAAAATACTGATATTTAAGATAATTACAAAAAAACTAATTTTAAAAAGTTTTAACATCATGTAGGTAACTCTAAAACTATGCATTTCCATATCCATGTTTATAGGAACTTTTTTTCATATTTTTTGATGAGGAATCAATGAATACTTTTTTAAAACTTATGCAAGTTAATGATATTATTTTTTTTTAAATTACCATTATACTTGGATCAAGGCAAATTAATAAAAATGCGTTTATCTCATAAAGGAGGCCGAAATCGACAAAATATCAAGAGACAACTTTTAATCGGCATTTTTTAAACTGCTGACACTATTTCGCTAACAAGAGAAAAAACGTCAGTGGCGTACATTCTTTTTTTAGAAAAATATTCCAGTCATAACCCATATGCACGTCCCTCGGGAATATGGCGACATTTTTTAAGCTTTAAAATATGTCCCATTTATAGTAACTTTTACCCTTATAATTTCATTGGAAACGCTAAAAATGCATGGAAGAAAATTATATTAACACCCTGTTTACGTGAGGAATCTCACCACGAGAGATGGCACATGTTTTTTGAAACACCCTGTATATCGGCTCAGGATATACATAAGAAAATTTTAAGGATGACGTTTTTTTCCTGCTGAGCATTAGCAGTTCGTTTGTGTCCAGAATAATTTAATTCTGTTCCGTTCTGCCAGTTGATCCAGGCATTCTCAGACGAGTCTCGACGATACCATTGGACTGCACACTGATGCGACTATCAGCAATAAACAAGAAACAGCCAGTCATATTATGAGGGACAGACAGAAGCTCAACCAAGAGTATGGCTCTGTGATTGTTGTGTCCAGTGACGATTGAGTGAATCCAGTAACGAACATGCACAAGCTCATGCATAATTTTAAAACACTCGAATAGCTGTAATAATGGAGTAAACACACGACAGTGACAGTGGTCTGTCATTTTATTCACTTTTAATTTTACTTTTTGTCACTTTTTATCGAAATCTTTCCTAACTCGCTGGATAGACTTTACTCATGCAAAATATCACAAATTAACAATAACATGTTAATTAGTGTCATCTTTTTTAAGAATTAAAGTAACTTAGTAGTGAGTTTTAAATAAGTGCAAATATTCTGAGGGGTAGTATATTTCGACCCCAGAAATACGATAACGAGGTTTTTTTCGCGAAAACTTTTTTTTGAAAATTTTTAACTTTTTTAATTTATTTTTAAAATTTTGTTTAGTTTTTAGTTAAAAAACATAATTTCTTAACTGCTTAAAGAACTTACTTAAAAAAGAAAATCCAGAAAAGATCCAGCGGTTCTCAAAATAATATAACTCGGTTATTTTGGACTCGTTTGAAAAATGGTAAAGAAAAAATATGTTTCTTTTCTCGGGATCTATCA